CCAGCCGGCCGCCAGCTCCTGGCACTGCCCACCGCGCCTTGGGTGGGGAGCGCCGCTCTCCCCCCGGGCCCGGCCCCGCCGCCCTCTCCTCCTCTCCCGCCCGCCCCGAGGAGGGAACGAAGAAAGGTAGAGAGTAGCCCACGGCAGCCACCCTCGCCCCGGAGGCCCCCGCGGCAGCACTGACCGTGCGCGGCGCCGCAGCCCCTGCCTCAACCCCGGCGCTGCCGACCGCCAACCGACCGTTCCGCCATGATGGAATGCGGGCACTGCGCCTGCGCCGCCGCTGGCCGGCCGGGGGCAGGCGGGCGCGCCAACCACAGGCCGGGCCGTTCTTCGTCTTTCAGCCACCCGCTCCCCGCGAAAAGAGGCGCGGGGGGGCGGCGGCGGCGGCGGCGGCGGGGGAGCCCGCAGGTGGCTGGAAAGGCCCCGTCAGGGCGGCAGCTCGGGGCGGGTGGTGGCCGACGGGGGAGGCAGGGCTGGGGGGCGAGCGAGGGGACGCGGCTCTTCAGGGCAGAGGTGGCACTGAGTGGACACAAAGGTGGTGGGTGGGTGACGAGCACCCGCCATCCCGCCATGACAGAGGCCTGGGCCACGTCCCCTGAGGTGGCCTGTGTCCTCTGAGGTGGACCCTGTCTTCTGAGGTGGCCCGTGGCCTGCAGCCCCTGGAAGACCCCATCCCTCCGTGGCCCGGTGGCACCTGATGGCGGGTGTGCTGCCCGTCACCCCATGGCACAGCCAGCGCCGTTGCCCGTGCTCCCGCCATGACACACACCTCCGGCCCGGGGGGTCTGCGGCCTCCACCCCCTTCATGCCAAAACCAGGACAAATGTGGTGTTTTATCTGTTTTATACATTTGGCCTCACCCCCAACTGAGGCGGTAGATGGGCCACAGCATGTGCAAAGACAAAAAGCCTGAATTGTAGTGCTGTGTAACAATACAAAAAGCTTTAATGTTGACGCCCGTAAGAAATTAGGGGAATTAATCCAACTGTTCAAGTGGGCAAAGCGAAGAGGAAGGCAAGATTTCGTTCCTGGCGTGTCCGTCCGAGGAACCGGGTATCCCGACAGACAGCTCCCTCCTCCACGGCCACTCTCACCCATTGTCAGAGCATCCCAAGCCCTGGGGGGCACTGAGCCCCCCTGCTCCAAAAAGGATGAAGGGCAGGGGCTGAAGAAGCCTGACACCAGTTGAAGAGCATCTCTGGCACATCCATGTCCTCTGGCTTCTATTCAGCTGGACAGTTTGTACCGATACATTTCCATCAATGTGTTTTGAGCAAATTCAAGGCACTGTTTGTTTTGTGTTTTGTTTTTTGTTTGTTTTTTTGTTTTTTTTTTTCTTTAAAAGCAGTGATTTAAGGGATATTTTGCACACAGCATGGGAGCTCGCTTCTGTGTGGATGTAAAATAAATGTGACAGCTGTGCTCTTACACAAGCTGCACGTAAATTGTGCATCGCAGCAGTTTGGAAGAAAAAGGTCAAACTCGACATTTATATGCAAGCTATATAATATAGCTTTTAACTAACCTTATAACTAACCTTTTAAAATCAACATCCACGTGTTTACCCCTGGACTGATCTTAGATACATTTTTAATGATTATAGGAAATTTTATAATGAATGGAAGAAATTGTTCCTTTATGTCAGATAATTTCTCTCCGGAGACTAGGGGAAGTGGTTGATTTGCCGTGCCGAACAACCCATGCTAAACAGGACTAAAATAAATTCCCTTCCAGCTTTTTAAATAAGCAAGCAGTGTTAAGGAAGGCCAGGGGTGGTGGTGTCTGCTGAATTTCTAGGTGAGTAATAATTTAGCTTGTTAAATAAATGCCACAAAACCATTTCAGTGTAACTTTACAATTAATTTTGCTCATATTGGCCCATAAAATGAGGAATGTGTGCTCTGCAAATTGTTAGCAAACAGTGAAATAACAGATAAAATCATCCTCAGATTGCGTCTGTGCGTTTGGCAGTTGCTGAAATGTTGTCCCTTTCTTCTCTTTTGTTGTAGTTGATCATCCAGCTATTACAAGACTTCACTGATGGTTTTGAATTTTACATTTGTTTTAGGGAGAAAACAAGCAAATGCTGTCATTATGCTTTAGCATCACTGAAGATGTGCATTTAGTGCAGAATAACACTGACAGTGCATGAAAACATGGCTTTTACAAGGAGCCTGTTACCTTTTTATTCTCTGATCTCTGTTCTCATCCCTATTTATTTCATCTTGTGAATGCATACGAGAGCTTCTTTGTCTGAAGAGCTCATTGCAATGCCCTTTGCCGTCTGAAAAGCATGACTGGGGAGGTGGATCGATAGCCAATTCCAGGTGGAGAGGGCAGGGGAAGCCTTTTCCTCTTACCAGGATAATTGGCAAAATCTCTGTCATGGTCCCTGCACTGAAATTTCCTCTTCTTTCTCCCTCTTCCACAAGTTTTACTGCACACATGTGACTACTGCCTGATTCTGGTGCAGAAAAGCAGCAGCTCCTACTTTTGCCCCGCGGAACAGTGTGGATCAGCACATTATGTGTTTTATTATGGTGGAAAATAAACTAATAATTCATTGTGCCAATAAAATAGCTTGAAATCTTTAAAAGAAGATTCAGGGGAAAAATAAATTTCTTCTCTGTTTTGAGTCACATCTTTCTATTGTCACTAATAGTTCAATATCTATTTCATTGACAATTCTGAAATTAAATTCTTTAATTCCAGCTCAGAATTAAGCCTTGTGAACACTCCAGAGAAGGGAGTAGACAAGTCCAGCTCAGGACTCGGTGGGCACAGACCTGCTTTCGGCATTATTGGGCTCTAGGAACAAAAAGTTGGTTAATCATTTCACCTTTGAGAGAATTCCTGGAATCTTCAGCACTCCATTTCAAGAATCCTGTAACTCCACAGGCTCTAACTAATCTGCAGCAAAGCGTATCTAGCGCCCTGGGGATTTCATTTCTGAAGTGAAATATTTGTACTTGATTTTGGGGAGATCCTCTGGAAGAGCCCCATCAGGATGGGATTTGCAGATGTGAAATACATGGCGTGAAGTGCCTGTTGCTGCTGAAGGCAGCGATTCAAGGACTATTTTGACTTCGCAGGCTCGGTATTTATTCATTGCCAGCTAAACCTAAAAAGTTATGACTAGTGGTGTTGTGTGATAGACGCGGGTCTGATTCTCTATCACGAGCACACTGTGTCTGATACCCAGAATAAAAAAGGTCTTCGGGGGTGAATGCTGAGCATTCTTTGCTGTTGGACCTCCCAGCTTTGATTATTACAAGAATTTCTTTGTAGGTAATAGTGCAGTATTTTAGCACTCAGAAAAATCCTTTTCCTTTCCCTCCTTTCATGAAATAATTTTTTCTCCCCCCCTCCCCCCTTAATTTTTCCATTCTAAATATACTTTATATCCTAGCAAGGTATTCACTGGTAATTCTAGCAAACGTGAGGTCTGATGGAAAAGCTTACCGAGTCACAGCGAGTCGCGAGAGAGACTTAGGATGAAAGATCTAAAAACTGCCCACATTCCACAAGCTCCGGGGCTCCTTTAAAACTGAAATTGCTTCAAGTACGAGAACTATTCCCACACCGTGGAAAATAAAGGACCAAATCTTTGCTGCAGACATCCTACATTCAGATTGCTACGGGTTGACAGTAAGGGGAAATTATATTTATTATTTTTTTAGCTGAAATTGGAGATTCTATGGCCAGTCGGTGAGGCTGAAGGCACATGGGCGCGCCGTTCCAGATGGCAAAGCTGTAGAGAGGAAATAATTGGCAGGAGCAGCATCGTGACCAAACCACCTGGAAAGAAGGCCCTGGTTAGATGGGTCAGAAATTACAGAAGAGCATGGAACCGGTCTGAGGGGAGCTGTAACTATGTTTTGAAATTCCTGGAGAGCCATAAGGACTGTGCAAGGACGGTGGTGACGCCAGGTTTCCAACACAAAGGCAGGCGACCCTCATCTGGAGTCGCTGGGTTAGAAAAAGCTGGATTTTGAGGAAATTATCGCCCGGGCTGTCCTTTCTGTCTAGAGAGGAAGGGGGAAGAGAGGCACACACACCAGTGATACCAGGTCAGGGGGTGGATCCGGGGCTGGGGATGAAGGAATTAAAAATAGCAAAATATAAGATCAGAGAATATTTGGAGAAAGGAAAAGGGAAGAGAAAAGAAACAGCCAAAATGGGAAGTGGAAATGAGTCAGGAGGGAGGGAAGAGAGAACAAATGGGAAGAAATCTGCACTTATAAAGGAAGGGCAGTCTCTGGAATGGAAAAGGAGAGTTAAGGAGAGTTCGTCTTAACAAAACAATGGCAAGAAGCAGTGCCAAAAACATGCTCATTCTTCCATTAGAAAAGTTTGAATTGTATTTTCTACTTTTTTTCTTTGCTAATTCAACAGGTCTAGGTGAGTTAAAAACAACAAAAAAAAGGGGAGGGGGAGGAAGAAGTAAAATATTAAGGAAATGGAAAAGAAAACCCCTTTGACAAGAATGGGTGAAAAGAGAGATAAGAGGAATATTACAATTACAACATATTCCAATCTGAACATGGGCGGGGAGGTTACTGAAAGGCTTGGATAACAAAAAACCACTGCTTACAGCTGGACACAGTAAATACCTGGCTGCACAAAAACCTCTCCAAAACCATCAACCTGCTTATCATGACGAATAGCAGCTGCTCTGGATTTCTAGTTCCAGCCCATAATAAAGACAGGTTTTTCTTTCCATGCTTGCGTGGCAATAATAATGGTGATTATGGTTATTTTAACTCGTGTCTAGCAAAGCCTCTTGAATTCATTAGGACCTGCCAGCGAGGTCTTGGAACACATTTGCTGCATTTTCTCTGATTATATACAAAATACTGCTGTGTACTCTTTAGGAGGGACCGAGGCAAGGCAACCCGGCAAACAAACTTTTATCAAACAGCACGTTGTTGGAAGCCTCTGTGCTCAGATCCTCAAAAGTAAACAGCGTATCCTGGAGCAGCTTTTCCGCCAGCGTGTCCTGGCTTTGCTCCATCCACCCCAGTGGAATTAGGAGTGTTTTCTCCAGCTGAGGAGCTGGTCCACGGAGAGAGAGAGAGCAAACCCGCAGTCTGTGCTGTGTATTTTGAGAGAAGCACAAGGGGGAAAAACCTGTAGGGCATCGGGAGCGGGAGTTTCCCTCGCAGGTAGATGAAACGTTCCAGCTGTTGTGCGTCTGCAGGTGCACTCATCCCCATTCCAGGGAATTTGCTGTCTGCTTGCCATTGAACCCCAGGAGCAAGTCATCACCAGC